TTTATTGAACCATTTAGAATTCTAAGTTTCAAACTTGAAATAATATATTAAAAGATAAAAACTATGAAAAAGTATAAGAAATATTTTAAAATTATATCAAAGTAAATATTTTTATGCATAAAATAAAATTTTAAAATTATATATATAATGTCTGGTTGGTTTGGTCTCGGGTTGGTTTTTTTTAGTTAAAACCAAACCAACCCAAATATAGTCGGGTTTTTTTTTTCGGGTTGACTCGATTTGCGGTTTGGTTCGGTTTTCGGTTCGGTTTTGTACTCCCTAATGACTAATTATTGACAAATTGTTTTTGTATTTACACTTAATATAAACACCATACGTCTTTTTATTTAATAATTACAATAGCAATACTTTTAGGAAATTGGTACTTTTTCATTATGAACAAAACAAATTGAATTGACTTCAATAGCTCTATAAAATTTTGTAAATTCTCACTCATTATGTGAGACTGAAACCAACAAAAAGAGTTGTATACGTATCTCGTTAAAAATAAGAATCAGATTAGACGAAGTTCATCTTTGGAAGCCTTTATACACACATATTTAAAGTGAATTATGACATAATAAAGAGCGTTTATTAGGAATCTTATAAAAATAAATTCAGAAATAACTATAGAGACTTATTTTGGATTAAAATCCAATAAACAAATTTATGCACCTCCTAGACCCAAAACACACAAAACCTTACCAATTATTGGATCTGGACCGTTACAAATTTCCACAATAATATGATGGTTTTATCCCTTTGTGATTCATTACTCATTATTTATCATAATTTCACTTTGTATTCGAATTCAATCATCTAAATTTTATTGCATATCTTAATATTTAAATATGTATTTAGATTCAGACATCCTTCTTTTAATGCAAATAAAGAAAGTCTTAATACCCATCATAATATCTATAAAAGAACACTACAACAAAAATAACTTTTAGCGACAATAAATAGACACATTAATAAAGAGTTCTAAAGTCTTTACCGGCATTAGTGAAGTGTCATTAGATCCAGTGTCGCTAAAGGCTTTAGGAACATATACCGAGAGTGTTAATTGCCGCTAAAAATACATATTTAGCGGCAATTGAGCTATTGTCGTTAATTAATTGTCCGTAAAGATCATTTTGATGTAGTGAAAATAGCTCCATCTAGTCATTTTCTGACCAAAAAGGGTTATGTAGAGTGGTCTAACTCCAGGTTAATTCTTGGAGCTTTTTCATGTCCGATAATAAGAACTTCTTTAAAAATACCCATTTTCCAAAAATTCCAACTTTCACAAATAAAATTCCATGAAAGTGTCTTTGAGAAGTAACTATTTGTGAATTTTACTCATATATGTAAGTCAAGTATCGGTGGACTAAATTTCTAGTAACAAAAACTTATAACACTATCAAGTCACTCAAAAATATCTATTGAAAAGACTTGCAAGCTCGAAAATAAGACGATTTTTTCTAACATGTAAAAATATGATATGTTGATGCAGATATTTCTTACATTTATGTTAAACATAACTTAAAAGATGTGAAATTTAGAATCTTCCACAACATCATTTGCAAGTTGCAATTTTATTTTATTTTTGGATTCATCCCGTCAATATGAACCGATTCCAATGAAATCCACAAATATGAAAATATTATATATAGGCTCCAAGAATCCAAAAGTTAAAAGAACAAAAACTACCTAAGGAAAACTAATCCCTTATTACATTCATTGTGCATTTTACTAATTATGTGATTTACATGTATATCTCTTTAAAACAATAACATACTCAGTGTGATTCAGAAGAAAATTTTGAAAGAAAAAAATGAGGTGTATGCACATTTTACTCCTACCTTATATAAGGTAGAGACTATTTTTGATAGATCCACTCAAGAAATTAAAGCGTTTTCAAAATTGAGAGTTTATCAGAAACATCCTCTCTCTGTGTACCTTACACAAGGTAGGAGGTACGGTCTTTAATTACTTCAAAAGGATCAATTTTGATGGATCAGCATAACGAACAGAGAATGATTTGACGAAACAATCAGGTTCATCATAGTTGATGAAACCATCATCAAAATTCTGTGAATAAGTATATTCATCATAACGTGGAACTTGTACATGAACAGACCTAGAAAACTTGAGCCTTAATCCATTCTTCCACAAAACTTTCCAAATTGAACTTTTGCTACCTCCACTTTTAGAAAATGATTCTTTCACCCCTTCAATATCACCATGATTGTAATTTTTTCCCAATCTAACACTTGTGCTTCTTGAACTAAAACTTCTATACCAATTCTTAACATCCATTGTGATGATCAACAAAAAAGTTGAATTAACAAGTAGATATATAATGAGATAAGATTTTGAAATGTATTAGAGTTTGGTTGTGGCTATTTATGAATAAACAGTTTTGGACTTAAAAGTAGAATGGTCCAATATGGCAGCTAAGCTAGTAGGAAATATGAATACTTAGCATGCTTTTGGTTATTAGACTAATATGATGGGCTATAGACTTTACTTTTAAATTTATTTACATGGTTTGGCCAAATAAAATAGGTGGCATTATTTAATTCAAGATTATGATATTTGTGGTAACATTTTATATTGAAATATCATAATTATCAAGCACGTGAGAGTGAGTACATTAATATTGAGGATTTTATAAGAAAAATGTAAGAAGAAATATAAATAAAATAATAATAAAAGTACAAGACAATAATAGGTGTAGCAAAGAACGTGTAAAGGGTGGGTGGGGAGATATATTTATTTCTTTAGAAATTCATGTACAAATGATTTGATTTATCTTTCTTTTATCGATAAATTGAAAAATATAAATATGCATATTTACGAAGAGTGTCAAAATCTTTATGAGTGTTAGTTAATTGATATTAGATCCAATGTCATTATATGCTTTGAAACATTTACAAAAAGTGTTAAATTGCTTCTAAAAAATATATTTAGCAACAAATTAAACTATTGTCGTTAATTGATTGCTGATAAAAATCTTTTTTGACATAATGCATGTTTGCCGATTTGAAATATTCGCAAGTTGCTTATATGATCTAGCTACTTGATTAAACTACTTACAAGTTGTCTATTGAATGCAAACTATTTTAGATAGAGGTAGAGTAGACTACTTAAATAGATATAACTATGATATAATTTTTTATTTATAACAAGAAGTTGTTGATTGGTAAGGGTATTGATATTGACAAATGTTGTGAATTTACACTTAGCATTATCATCTAAAATTGTAGCTAAACTTTTAGGAAATGTGTCTATATATTAATGAGCCAAACACATTGAATTGACTTTTAAATAATAGCTCTATAAAATTTGAAAATTATGCCCCACTAGCTTTTCCTACTCTCATCCGAAAAGTCTCATACGAGGGTAAAATGATTTCTAATAAAAGCGATTACGTATTCAAGAGAATTCGAATTCTAGACTTTTTGGTTAAGAATGAAAAAGTATTTACCACTTCACCACAACCCATGTTGACAGTGGAGGACCCAGGATTTTCGTTCAGGGGGTTCGAAAAATAAAAGTATAAACGTTTATATATAAGCCAACAAAACAAAATTTCAAGAAAGTAGTAGTATTTAATTTTAGTGGCGGACCCTTGAATTTTTTTGGGTTTAAAACCACACTTTTAGCATGTTTTATAAAATAAAAAACAAAAAAAAATGTGAAAACGGAACTAAAACCTTAAAAAAAAAACAAAAAAAAACTGAAAAAGAAAAAAATAAAACGCTAATGCAGGGATTTGATCCCTCAACATGAGACTTAATTTTCAGGGTAAATACCACTGTGCTATCTCTTTCTCCTTGTCATTGAGGGGGTTCAAAATATATATATCCAAAATAAATACATAAAATTACCTTATATATACAGTGTAATTTTTTTGCCGAGGGGGTTCGGGTGAACCCCCTGGAACCAACGTGGGTCCGCCCCTGCATGTTGGTCCTCTACTCTCATATTAACCTCTCTTAAG